ATGTATTAATTTTATAAATTTATACAATTATATGCTGTATATAAACTTTATTGCTTTTAAAAATATATTTTTATGTTTAATTGAAAGTATATATATGTTTTTTTCATGCTATGACCTTTTATTTTAACTTATAATAGAGCAGAGAAATTTTAAATAACCCTATAATTAGAAAAAAGTATTTGTGAAATGTAATAGAAAGTAGATTAGCAGGTGGTGCAACATCTGTACTTTAACCATAGAAATTAGAATAAAAAATAAAAATGAATGGATTTCCAAATTATTTATTTAGAATATCAAATTACAGATTTTAATTATCTGTAAAAAAAAAATTAAGAATAAAATTTAATGATTAACGTCGCGAAATGATACCAGAGGGCGGAGTTTTTAATGATAAACAGAGAAACGTGGTTATTCTGTTCAATTTGTTGTATTAATTTTTAAACGATGTTTGATGCCATTTATAATAATAAATAATAAAATGATTGTTAGATATAGAATGTGGGCGAAATATTAATATTTTGTTAAATATAAATATTAAAGATGAAGATTATAAGTGTAATTCATGTATTTTTGTAAAAAGAAATTATAATTGTTTTCTTAATTGAGAAACACAACAGATGAATTGCAAACGTGGAATAAATGGAAGATTTCTTTATCTATGCACGAATGACTCTGGCAATCCTAAATCAGAGAAAATATTTGGTAAACAGTCTAAAAATCATTTTTTTTATAATTACTTTTTAAAAATAATTACAAAAATAAAAAGTGTAATCGGTTTTTAATAAAGTATACTTTCAGTTATTGTATATGAATTCATGAATACTTTAAAATTATATTAAAACTAGTAAAATATATTTTTTTCCATTTTATATAAAAATTAATTATTTCTGTTTAAAATATAGGTTTATTAGAAACTCCAAATGTACCTCTAGATATAAGACACATCAAATATAAAGTATATATTGTGGGTAAAGCAGGAGTTGGAAAATCTTTCTTGTCATCTTGGTTGTCTGGATTAAATAACAATTCTTCATATTATGCTACTTCAGGTAATATGTTAGATATTGGTTAATTGATTTTAGCAACCTAATTCTTCAGAATTCATAATACAGAGAAATATTTACAAAAGTTTTGTAAAAATTTCATGATAAGAATTGCCATCTTAAGTTTAATAACAAAAACTTTTCTAACACTACTGACTTCAGAACATTAAAACATATTTATTTAATTTAATTAATTAAAATGTGCTTTAAAAATTTTTATTAAAGTATTAAAATGCATTTATGTAAACTTCAACATTTCAATTAAATGTTCTATGCAACAACTATTGTTTTCAAAATTTTCACTTTCCTGGTGTATTGCAATTGATCTAAAAATGACCCCAAGAATTTTACATTTTTGGACTCAGAACTTTAAAGTTCTGAGTCCAAAAATGTTAAGAATGCAAAAAATTGAGGATTTTATCTGTATGTATGGATATGTGTGTGTGTGTATGGGCACAGTTTTGTCACTCACTTTGAAGTTTAATAGCTCCTATACTTTCTGTTGAAAATTTCTGAAATTCTGTAGAGAAGTTTGTGTATTAGGAGCATTGATGCTATTAAATTTTGCTGGTTAAAGGTCAAGGGGATGGGGAGATAGAAGGAGGTTGTGTATCATATCTTGAGTGGAGTTGGACTTAATGAAGAGTTTACTTGTTATTAGCATTTACAAATTTTATAAAATGCATCTCCACTCTCAAAATTAAGCTTTTTGCATTTTGTAATAATTAATAATATGAAAAGTTTTTTCTTACAAAATCTAATAACTGATAACACTACACACAATTTTAACTTTTTTGCTGGAAAAGTTACACAACTCATGGATTTTTGGTATTGATTTCAAAATTTTAAATTGATTAAATGTTCTAAGAATCATATATTCATCTCAAAAATTATTTTGCATTATCATTTTATAAAAATATTTGTCTATCTTAATCTTTCACTTTTTCTTTTTACTCTTCCTACTTCAATAAATTTCATTCATTGTTCATACTTACAGATTCACATCATCATTAGATTTATTTATTGAATTTCAGCCATACATTATTTCATATGGTCCTGTGCCAATGTATTGGATATCTTCTGTTTCCTGCCACAATATATTTCTATTTGATTATTCTAGGAATATTGTTCTAATGCTATAGTTGTTGTTGTTTTCTTCAGGCCTTCTTGATGATCTAGTTTCTTTTGTCTCAATGATCTACAAGTGCTGTCTATGTATTTAAATTCTTTGCTTTTATAAATTACTGCATCATCTAATTTATATCATTAGACAAAATAGGAGCAGAGTAAAGTAACTAGGAGATTTGGGGATCATCTCAATCCCCTAAAATCAGTAAATTTCACTGAATAGTTGGCAAAATCATCCCGAGAAAATGTTTCCATGCTTCCCCCAGTAAAAATGTTTGAATGACTATGAAGAAGAGTTTATGAGATTAAGAGTGTACAGGAAAAGAAATTATTAAAATACATAGGCAGCATATGTAGATCATTGAGACAAGGGATCACCAAACATCAAGAAGACTATTATCAGAAATTAATACAGAATAAGCAAATAAATTATTGAATAAGTAATTAAAATAGAATGAAAATACTGATTGGGTGGATATCAAACAGATGAATAAAGAGAATCAGAAACTGGACTTCAATGATAAGAGATGTTTAGATTGCCCAAAACATTGTTGGAAAAATAACATACAATTTACTAATAAACATTGGTTTATAGAAGAAAGTTTTTTTGATTCATATAATAAGAATATACAATAAATCATTAAGAAATAATATTGTTTGTTATGATTCTAATACTTTTTTCTAGATTAAGATAAATAACAAAGAAAATCTACAAATAGTATATTTTTATAATTTAAACAAAATGTTTATATATTTATGCTGACTTTATATATAAATTTTTACTGTACCAGTAATTGTTTTATATTCATTTTATATTAGAATATTTATAAAAATTGTAAGTAAAATATTTGATTAGGGACACAAGTTAAAGCAGTTTCCAGAGTGTGTGAAGTACATTCATCAGAAGTAAAAAAATTGATGTTTACTATTGAGTTTTGGGAATCAGGAACTGTTGGAAGAAGAAAGCCAGTTGATTTAATAGAGGTATTGCAATCATTTTAAGTTTTATATTTTATGCTAATTTTATGTTAACAATTTAGTTTGAATGTGGTTTGCTATTTTTATTTTTCATAGAAGCAATGCTATTACAAATTTTGTATTATTTCATTCAAATTAATTTCAGACAACTTGAATCACATCTTATTTTATGATTTTTTTGTTGTATTTGTTCTATAAGAAGCTTTTTGAAAGCATTTAGTTGGATTTGCTTAGGAATTTTGAATATTATGTTGAGCAAGGAAAAACAAAGACAATTATTTTTAATGTAAAGCAATATTGGGGAATGTTAAAATTCTACTTTAAATTGATTATTGGTAAACATTTTATATTAATGAAAAAATCTCAGGTAAGCAAAATTAAAATAGATAACAATTGGATAAAATTATAGCACTTTATATTATAATTAGTAGCTGATCCAGTATTGTGTGGGCTAAAAGCAAATAAATTTTATTGTTGTTTTCCGTTGGTTAATATTGATACACTAGAACTGTCTAAATAGTTTTATATTTTTGTAAAATAACTGATTCTATATTTAAAAAATAAATATTGTAAAAGCAAATGTCTGAATAAATAGTCACATTACAATGACCTTTTTACATACATGAAGTTTCAACCATTTTTCTGAAAGCCTATCTTTCTTTGTAGGCTTCCAGAAGAATGACATATTTGCCTCACTGGATATTATAGTCTAAAAAAGTTTTACATTAAGAACAAATAACTCTATTTATAAAATAGGTATTGTTCTTTGTTATTGTTAATATTTACAGGAGTGCACAAATTTGCACTAAGGGCAAAATTTTTCAAAGAAGGTATATTCAAAATGGTAGTAGAAATTTCTATTTCCAAGTTGAATTTCATTGAAAGAACTTTCTAAATAAAATTTGAACTAAACAGCAGTTGATTTGCTTTTCACAACAAGGAATATATTAAATTAACTATTCATTTTAATATAAATAACAATAAAAATCAATTAATTAGTAAATCAGTTAAAACTTAATAGAAATGTTAATATCTACCTTAAGATGTGAAATAAAGTCGAAATTTCAATAAAATAGAAGTTTACAAGATAGCAATTTGATAGAAACAGCTAAAACAAATAATGAAATGTGTAATGTGATATAAGATGGCTTGAATTGAATTAATTCATTAATATTCCTTTGAAATAATTATTTAGTTTTTCTGCTTTTATAGCAATGAACAGTAATAGTAGAAACATTGCATTGCAATTTTTATTCCTATTTTTCAGAATATGTATTCTTGGTCCCCAATGTTCCTAAAGTTACAAACAGTGAGATGTACCTATGTTGGAGCAGAAATGGGGCTATCTGACTGATCCTATATTGGTACATTTTAATTAATAACTAAGTGAATGTGCCATTTTAATAATTTTAAACTGCATCGTTAGAATTGAATCTAATTGAATCTAATGATGCTTTTTGGCTCTGTGGATAATTTCCCTTTAACTTCTACAGCAATAACATGCAATAACATGGTCTCCTATGTGAGACTAGGGTAAGAGGATGGAGTAGGAAAGGACGAGATTCAGTTGGAATTGATTCACTCAACACAATTTACTACACTTCAACATTTATTAGATGGCATGAAAGTTGGTATAACACATTACACAAAGTATTTGCATTTCATGGAGAGAGAGATTACAAATTTTTGGTATCTCACAAATTGGAACTAGAATTCTCATTTAGGATCTTTGAAATGTAGTCTTTCAGTTAACAATTTGGGAGAGAAGCAGCAAGTAGAGGGATGACAAGGAATCTGAGGGCACAGAAGAACACTAATCCAAAACGGTACACATCCACACTAAACTGAACAGTTGAAAGAATGGATGATGATTGGCTGGAATTGGCCATTCCTTGTCATATTCAAAGCAGAAAATATCTTAGATGTGTCTAAAAGTTGTGGGAAAGGTGTCATCACCAACTCTGAGAAAGCATAAGTTGACACACTCTCAGGTTAGAACATTGACATATACTAGCTTCATCCTTGAGTTGTTTTCCTTTTCATTATTCGATTCTCATACAGAGTAGTCAAAAAATTACTTCACAAGGTTCAAAGTATAGAGACCAAAGCACGGTTGACTGTCTTCAATGTAGTAATTACCCAGATTTCCATAAATGATTAGAATGATTATAAATGCAGAATAGTTGTGATGTAGCATTTCAAAATGATGACATGTTTAGAAAAGTGATATAGTGAGGAAGTCTGAGCAGTTACTAAGAGTAGATATCTATGGGCCAAAAAGGTTCCACTTGCTAAATCCATTGTCAGTCAAGGTATATGGGGACAATGTTATATCCCATCAAGGTGTCATAGAATAATGTCAGAAGTTTGCAAGTGGATAGGAAATGTGAGTGGCAAAAGTTGCAGTGGGAATCTAAGCTGACCAATAATGGAAGCCAATGATATAAGAATTGAAAAACTGATTCAGGTAACAATGGTGGATCTTGAATAACAATAACAAAAATTAAACATTTTTATTTGTAATATATGTTACAGAACATTATGCTGAAACTGGCAAAAACAATTGAATATAAATTCAATTGTTTTTGTAAAGTTCTACAAACAAATAATTTATGTATTTTTAAAATTAAAACATTAAAATAAATAAAAAGATATAATAAATTAAAATAAAATAATTATACATACTAGTAACAAACATTTTTTAAGTTAAGTCCACATTGTTCTCTTATCTCATCGGGTTATCAACTAGAGACTGCCATGCTTTGGATAACATTTCCTTCTTCTTGAAATTAATGCATTCACCTTTTTTAGATGCTTGGAATATTTCAAAAGCTTCCACTGATCATAATTTGTTGATGTCAAACACAATTTTTAATAATTTAGCCTGGTCCCAACATGCTGACACCCCTGGCTCACTTGCATATTGGGCAAGCATTATGGATAGACTGTTTATTATTATTATTTATTATTTATTAATTAATTATTTATTATTATTATGGATAGACACATTGTATTTATGTTCCTTGAACCTTTGGGTACATCTTTTAGTGGCATCTATATATGCTAACTTTCAACTAAATCAATCATCCCACACTGGGATAATTGGGATAACCCAGGGGCTAAGTTTCTATCTATAGAATCTTTACCATTAGTTAGATGCCTAAATATAGTTGGATTATGTCTATAAGTTATTCTGGCATTCATATGCTTTGCTAATGTTTTATATGTAAAAGTCAGCCTTGGGTCATAGTCCATAGTTTTCTATATATTTCTGAGGTAAAACCTTGGAACACTATGTATCCTTATTAAGCCACAATGCATTAATGTTGTACTCCATGTTTTTAGCTAACCTAGCAATCAGTTTTTTGCTGTAGCCATGAGCTTCCACTAATCCCTTAATTGGTTCATACAGTAGAACCCCTCTAATCCGTCACCTTTGGGACTGGGGGTATGGTTGGAACGCAAAAAAGGTCGGGTTATCAGAAAAAAGTAAAATAAACAATCTTCCCCTTTGTCCAGTCTTTGTAGCACTGCTAATTTTTCATTTAATGAAAGAGTAACGTGTTTACGTTTCACTCCTGAATGTTGAAAACACACACAAAACTGTACATGTACACACAATGTAAAACATACACTGTAACGAACACAGAAAAATGCCACAGATGGTGAGTCACTGATGAGTCGGGACAAGTTTCTTGACTCCGACCACGGTCGGATTAACCGGAGTGATGGACTAGCCGAGGGCGGACTAGAGGGGTTCTACTGTAATATTAGAGCAGTAAGTGTAGGCTCTTTCAACCAGTGTCTTAAATACAGCTATTTTATAGGAAGGCAGATCACAAGAATTGAAAGGGATGAGGGGCTTATCTTTATTATAGAACCGTTCAAAACATGTAAATTATTTGTTTGTAGAACTTTTAAAATATGTAAATCGTTTGTTTTTGAATTTTATAAATTTAAAAATAGTGGTTATAGTTCTTCTATCATTAGAACTCAGTTCTTTTCTTTAATTCTTATTTTAATAATTTTTAACTTGAGGCAGATCTCTGAACAGGGTCAAAAATGTTTTGATTAAACTAGTGCTGGAAAAGGTGTAAGGTGTAGTGTGATTAGAATATAACTTGCCATTAATGACCATTATCATTTCTAGGTATGTTTTATATAAAAAAAGATGAACAAACTTTTTGATCAATCCATTAATTTTTGTTTAAATATGGAATGTAATTTTTTTTAATCATAAAATTTTAATTAATAGGAATGTCCAAGTGATGCTGATGCTGTACTTTTGATGTTTTCATATGCTGAAAAGGAGAGTTTAAAGTTTATATCAGATATTATGATAGAATTTGAAAAACACAATTCTTATAAACCTTGTTTTATAGCTGTTGGTTGTGGGTAAGAAGTTTCTTTAGATTTATTTGCAAAAATATTATTTACTATTAATGTAGTTATTAAAAACTCTGATTTAATTCTACCTGAAAATAATTCATTTCAATTATAATTAAGATCATTTTATTTCTAAAAAATAACTAACAATATAGTAAAGTTTTATTTTTTTCTTCATTTTATAAAATTTTTTTCAAAGAAGAAACTTAAAACAATTTTTGTCCTTTATATGATCCCTGACATTAATACAATTCCTTATACTACATTTAAATGAGAATTCACTCAGCCCTGTTTTGTATTTTAAAGTAGCTCAATTCAAAATTCAATCATAAAAGCAAATATGATATCTCTGTCATGGCATAAATAACCATGACAAAATTTTTGTTATGGAATACAGATAAATTCAGGGATGTCCAACCTGTGGCCCACTGCACCCTAAATTTTTTAGGTACATTTTCATTTATTTTTGTAAAGAATGTCGTTAAAAATTATTCTCATTTCACTTGATACACGTTGATGTCATAATCATGTAATTGGTGCTAGAAAACTGTACTCCTTCATATGTATAACATACTATTGTAAACAATTCTTTTCATGCATGAAAAACATCAAAACTGCTGAAAAAATACATTGAGTGATTCACTTTTAATTAACATTCTTAGAACTAAGACTAGTACCATAAAAGCAGATATTCACAATATTATAAAAGGAAGGCAATATTAGAAATCACATTAAATTTATTTTTATTTTGTGTGAGTAAATTTTTTTACTGTCAATAATACAGTATTTGATGTAATTATATATATTTGTTATTAAAATTTGATATTCACATTTTGAACTTTTTTAAAAACATATACATTAGAGCAGTGTTTTTCAACCTGTGGGTTGCAACCCCTTGGGGGTCACGAAATCTTACACAGGGGGTTGCGGGTAGAAGAAAAAGACAAGTGTTTGTAGGTCCTACACTACATTAAAAAAACTACAATTTCAGCGAGAATTACGGCCCACCCCAGAAAATGATAGCAGAAAAAGTGTTGAGAAATAAAAAGAAATAAACAGTAGAAAAGTAGAAGCTGAAAATTCAGATCCTGAAAAAAAAAAAAAGGTCAACAGTTCCCAGTGCCTAATGTTATAATTAAAGGAAGTTTCATACTTTATGTGTGTTAAGTTATTGTCGATTCTTCTGAAATTTTCATTTTAATCAACAATAATTTGTCTCAACAGAAAGAAAATTAAATACATAGTTTTTAAAATCACTGATATAGTTTTAATATGGCCCTAGGGGGATCGCCAGAATTTTTTAACTTGTAAAGGGATCGCGTATTCAAGAAGGTTGAAAAACACTGCATTAGAGCATTGATTATCCAAATATCAACCAACCGAAACATTGGTTAACCAAAAGCATTCCAGTCAGCAAATTTAAATTTTCACTAGTGCTGTGGCACTGCAATATTTGGCTGTCTTGGGCTACTCTAATATTATTTTTGTTGGTGTGTGTGTTTTAGCTGGCAGCACTTGCACTACCATGAGAGTACTTAAGGATGTGCCAGGATTTGAACGAATTTCAACATGGGATAGGTTAATGTATTTTTTCATACTTAATCGGTTATCTGAACAACCCTAGTCCCAAATTGTTTTGGATAATCGATGCTCCACTGTATTTATTTAAAGTACCTTTGTGGCCTGCTGAATATATGTAAATTTCTAATTTGGCCCATTATGAAAAAAGGTTGGACAACCCTGGATAAATTTGATGTTATCTGAATCTAATGTATTCTCAAAAATGATTTGAATATTAAGAAGTTCACTATCTTTTACAGAAAAAATTTTAACTCATTTCTGATCCATCTAAATAACCACAACCCCAAATTATTCTATTATCAAAACTGTAATTCCTTTGGCCAATTCAGCTTATGTTCCATTTTTGAAAATAAGTAAGGAATAAATAATGAAAAACTCCAGATTTCTTTAAAATATAACAAAAATCTGCCTTGTTATATTTTAAATTAAGAATATTAATAAATTATGAACATTTATAAATTAATGTAATAACTTTTATAATTTAATGTTCCATCACAAATTATAAATGTTCTTGATTTATTTCTTTTGTTAAATGAGTAATTCCAAGTAATTTGAAACTCTTAATTATTACAAAGATAATTTTCATGTAATTTAAAAATAATGAATCATTTGCAAAATAATAACAATAACATTTTTGTAATTAGCTGGAATCTTGAACAACAGCAGTTTGTCAGACAGAGAGACATACAAGAATTTGAAGGTACATGGAAAGTTCCAGTTCTACAGTTACCTTTATATTCAACAATTTCAAGAGAAAATTATTGGAAAAATAAAAGGGAAGAATTCATTTTATTTCTTTGTGAAGAATTATGTTTACGAGATCAAATTTTAAGTTCCTGTGGAATAAACAGATGAATTACAGTGTTTCATAAAATAATGTAATAGAATCTACTTATTTTAACTGCTTTGAGACTGCCTGTACTGGAGATGATAATCAAATATTAACATTAATCAGAACCTTTTTTTTTTTAAGACTATAAAATAATATACAGTAATACCCTAAACTTACGCAATAGGTGGGACCGAGCGATAACCGCGTAAGTCGAATTCGCATAAGTCGGGGTATAATTACATACAAATAATTTTTAATTGGGACCAAAGACTAAAAAAAGCAATAATTTAGAAAAAAATGTTTAATAAAATCTTAGATAATACATATGTATAACATATATTATTATACAATTTTTCACAATTGATTATCACACCATAATTTTAACATTGTTTCTGTCTCAGTGATAATACCGTGACGTTTACAAATGCTACTTGAATTTAAAGATTAAGCATTTTTCGCAGCTTCGAGAATTTTTTCTTTACCTTTTATAATTGTTCTGACCGTCGATTCCTGTAGATCAAACTTCTTTGCCAATTCACAAATTTTCATTTTTGTATCGAAGTCTTTAATAATGTTAACTTTACATTCCAAAGATAAAGTTTTTCTTTTCTTGTTTGATGCAGAAGAATCAGTTCTACTTCGTTTGGATGACATGGTAGAGTCTCTCAAGTCTCCGTAGATAAAACAAACACAGAAATAAACACAAAATAAATTGTAGCTATGTGTCAATTCTACGTGACACGTCCGAACATGTAAGCTGAACAATAGTGTGGGGGAGTGAGTAATCAAGAGTTGTGTGGCACTCAAACAAAAGATGAATCGGTGAGATTTGAAAATCGCGTAACTCTGGGTTCGCGTAATTCGAGGTATTACTGTATTTTTATTGTTTCTGACATTAAAAGGATATGTTAAAACTTAAAAAATATAGTTGTATGTTCTTTGGAAGTTAGCATAAAGTTTCTATTGAGAATAAATCATACAGGAACATTTATCTTGATGGAAACAGTAGATTTTTATTTTCTATAATTTACAACAGATATGCATTTCAGGTTTTATACCTCTCTTCAGTCCTTATTTTATTATGTATATCAGTAAAAATACATAAGAAATTACAGAATGTATTTAATAATAATTTATATTTAACATATGCATAACTCACAAAAATTTTTCAAAAATAATTATAGTGACAATTGAAATAACTAATTATTAAACCATTGAGTAGAACAAGTAAAACTGAATAAATTAAAAAATTAGCAAATAAATAAATATAATAAAATGTTAAAAAATAATAAGAGGGTTTACCTTTAAGATGCGACAACTAGATAACTCAACTTGTCAATTTTGTTTTAATTAATAATAATTTTATCTGTAACGATAATTTTTTTAGACAATTAGAAGGCATCTTTATGGACTTGCATTGATCCAAAACTTGCTGAATTTTGCATGATAAAAATTGACTGATGACATTATTAAAAACCTTTGTGGTGTAATTTTTTACAAATGTTATGTTGATGACTGCTTTGTTGTTTATAACGTGAAAGTAATCAATCCACGAATTATACTTCAATATGCCAATAATATCCAAAATAATATATGCTTTGAAATAGAAAATGAAAATAATGGTATGTTAAACTTTTTAGATATCACAGTTCAAAGATATGATAATTTTACCACTTTCAAAAAATACATTAAACCATCTGATGTTGGAAAAGTCATATATATATATATATATGACTTTTTATATACATATTGTTTTAATTGTAATTTTTATATACATATTGAATATGTTTATATATATATAAACATATTCAATATGTATATAAACAAAATTAAATTACAAGTGATATAGCAATTGAACATGTGTATCAAGTTTTTCAATTAAACTATTCCAACAAAATTATTGACAAGTGGCTATATAATCACACTATAAAACAACCAATGCCTAAAACACAAATAATTTATAGAAAACTTGATTATGCCCTGATAATTTTTGAAAAGATACAAAAAATATTACACCATATAGTAATAATCTAGTCCCCACATTGAACAACAAAATCAAAAATTTCTTAAAAATCAAAGAACCAATTAACAGTAAAATAGATGTATTGTTAAATAATAATTTAGTTTATATTTTCACTTGTACTTTTCAACCAAAATATTATTACATAGGTGAGATGGGTAGAATGCTAAAAATCAGAATAAGAGAGCATATATGGGCTGTGAGGTATAACTACACCAACTCAGTGGTCATCACACACTAATCATGTCTGTTGTGAGATTTCACTTGACAGCGTCAAAATTCGTAAAAAAGAAAATTTTTTGAACATATTGAAATTATTAAAATAAACAAAATTAATAGAATGAATTTAAACACTGGCATTGTCATCAGTGAGATCTGGCAACCATTACTACCAAAATAAGAAGTCTATTTTAAGACGTTCTTCCTCCACTCTTAATTCACGTTCTTTGTACCATATAAAGTATCAGATTTCCTGATAAACATACAGCCTTTACATCTACCTGTTTTAAACCAGTTTTTATGTTTGTGATTAGTAGTTTGTGGGATGTTGATCTGTCATTTTATGTAGTGACTTTAGACACCTGCCTAACTTCTATGAGGTCTGAACCCCTGCAATACAAGGGGTTCAGACCTCATAATATATATAGTATATTAACTAGCATTGAATATTAATTAAAATACTATATATTCTGTATATGTATATATAAAATTGTGAATTTTTTAATCTTTTGTATAGTTATTTTTAAAGAAAAATAAAAAAAAATTGTATTATATTATTTTTTTCTATTTTTAGAGTAATTTTTTCACTATCTTTTATTCATCAAAATTTAAAAAAAAGCAATTTGTATATATTATATCTCTCCTTAATCCTTAATGTAAATTTTTATGATGATAACAATTCTTTATTTTTATATAATTATTACACATTATCTCAGTTTAATGAATGCTAAAGAAAAATAAGCATTATCTTCTTTTACATTAATTTTTTTGCTTTGTTTTAATTTGTGTAAAAGAACTTTTACCTAAAAATTTATTTAGGAAAGAAGCTAATAAATTCAAAATGTATGAACATCAGTTTTGATGAATAAAAAAATGATTTCTTTATTAGTGATGGAGATTGACTTTTATTCACCATTCTTTATATAAACAGAATGGTGAAATGGTGATCAGCAAAAATATTTAAATTTCAACAAAATAGTTTAAAATATAAACAAATTTATATTTTAATTGAAAAAATATATAAAATCATTTTTAATATTCAATAAGTTTACTTATAATGATAAAACAACTTTCTCATTATTATGAAAGTTTTGATTCATAAATGCTACTGTAGTACATTAAAAATCATGTAAACCACCTTTGAAAATTAAGTAAAAATACTTACTTGTTTAGACTAAATCAACTGCTATTTTGAATTTTAAAAATTAATTTTTTAAGATGAGCCAGTCTAGACATTTGTCTGATTCTTTTTCTCAAAAAAATTGTTAAAATGTCAAATTTGGGTGTCAAATTGAATGCAATTTTAGTGTTTGTTCATTTTAAATTATTAATTAAAATTTGTTAAAATGTTTAATTTGAATGTCGCATTCAATATGATTAGTTGTTCATTAAATTATTGATCAAATTTTAAATNTCAAAAAAATTGTTAAAATGTCAAATTTGGGTGTCAAATTGAATGCAATTTTAGTGTTTGTTCATTTTAAATTATTAATTAAAATTTGTTAAAATGTTTAATTTGAATGTCGCATTCAATATGATTAGTTGTTCATTAAATTATTGATCAAATTTTAAATTTTGTTCTTGTTTACTTTCTCCCAATCATTACATTGTCTGATAAAGCAAGTTTTCAAAAGTGTCAACTCTAAATGGGACCCAAGAACAGGTTGCAAAAATTGCTCCTATATGCACCATTGTATTACAAGGATGTAATATGACAGAGACTAAATGTGGCATCATACAGCCACAGATGAAACCAAATAATTCAGTTGAATGGAACAATGTTAAAAATTACCAGAGTTTCCATACCTAAAATGTTGCAAATAGCTGCTTGTATTGCCATAATGGATGACATGCTAGCTATGCAGAGTTGTGTAGATCAAAGGTAGAAGCATTCATCAATTACAGATGGTCATTTTAAGTATGTAAAGTAAGATGTATAAAGTATCAGTGTTTTTTCATATTTTTTTGTTTAATGTTTGTTTTTGTGGTATTGCTTGTTTCCTCATATAAATTTTAGAATTTGCTATAATCATTAACATGAACTTGAGTTATGAATTTTATATATAGAGTTAGGNTTTTATACCTCTCTTCAGTCCTTATTTTATTATGTATATCAGTAAAAATACATAAGAAATTACAGAATGTATTTAATAATAATTTATATTTAACATATGCATAACTCACAAAAATTTTTCAAAAATAATTATAGTGACAATTGAAATAACTAATTATTAAACCATTGAGTAGAACAAGTAAAACTGAATAAATTAAAAAATTAGCAAATAAATAAATATAATAAAATGTTAAAAAATAATAAGAGGGTTTACCTTTAAGATGCGACAACTAGATAACTCAACTTGTCAATTTTGTTTTAATTAATAATAATTTTATCTGTAACGATAATTTTTTTAGACAATTAGAAGGCATCTTTATGGACTTGCATTGATCCAAAACTTGCTGAATTTTGCATGATAAAAATTGACTGATGACATTATTAAAAACCTTTGTGGTGTAATTTTTTACAAATGTTATGTTGATGACTGCTTTGTTGTTTATAACGTGAAAGTAATCAATCCACGAATTATACTTCAATATGCCAATAATATCCAAAATAATATATGCTTTGAAATAGAAAATGAAAATAATGGTATGTTAAACTTTTTAGATATCACAGTTCAAAGATATGATAATTTTACCACTTTCAAAAAATACATTAAACCATCTGATGTTGGAAAAGTCATATATATATATATATATGACTTTTTATATACATATTGTTTTAATTGTAATTTTTATATACATATTGAATATGTTTATATATATATAAACATATTCAATATGTATATAAACAAAATTAAATTACAAGTGATATAGCAATTGAACATGTGTATCAAGTTTTTCAATTAAACTATTCCAACAAAATTATTGACAAGTGGCTATATAATCACACTATAAAACAACCAATGCCTAAAACACAA